CCCACCACACACACACCACATATGCTAAGTAACTAACGGTGTGCACACTGGTGAAATCAGCATCAGCAATCAATGACTGTTTACAAAAGGGAGGGAATAAAGAGGATCTCCATCAATGACCATCCTCTTCGTCGCTCGCTTCAGGCCAAAGGTCATGCAAGGGGGAAGGGTTCATTCATTGATAGGATTATGTCTTAATTAACAAAGCTAGGTAGGTGAACAGAATGAATGATGGTCTGAACTGCTAATGAACAAAGAAATAACTTACTGACTAAATAAAAGACTAATCTCTAAACTGTGCTCAATGACATGCTTTGACAAAAGCTGTCATACACACTAGTAAAAATGTTCATCATAACAGCCTCTTTCTTTCCCTCCATTTAAATTGTCGCAATCTTTTCTGTAATTTCTACTCAAATTCAAAATCAAATATGAGTTTTCAAAGCTTGATTTTCTGCATCAGTAGTGGTTAAATTGAAAGTAGTTTAATAATGCAGTTAATGTATCACTGCAGGATAAGCTCTGCATTGATTTGATTGATGTAAGTCAGCAATCAATCAATTTTTTTTACAGTGCATAATAGGACTTCAGCTAGCTAGCCTTAGGTTTATTAATGTTTACTAATAATAAACTAAAGCGCTAAGACAATATACAGTCTTTACAGGATTTGTATGATTTTTTTTATTATATAACTTGTCACATTATTTAGCATAATACTACTGCTTCTACTTGTAGCCTACTTCTATGTTAACAAAAACGTTAATTGTACCAATTAATTTATACAAAGCATACTGCAGTGTCAGAATCAAAATATCCATGTAAATTATCTACACAAATAGCGAGTACTAATTAGTAAACCTGCTAATTAATAAAACTGGTTTATATAGTCCAATTGTCTGTAAAACATTTAGAAGTCAAGGCCTCAACGAATAAAATTAGCCTAACTACAACCCTAAAAGCCAATCCTATATAGGCTAACATATTCGGCTCACCTCATAAGTTCTGAACAATGAAAAACATAAGCTGTGCTGTCGCTGGACAGCTGCACCGGAGCTCCACAGCGGGAACTACCGCGCCGTGAGCACACTCACAGAAATGTTTACACACGACGTTACTTTTCGATTCGCTCCAATCCAAAAGATCCAAATACGTACGCACACAGTAAATAACGCGCTCTAGAACAGAACTTTATCACGTGACCTTCTCAGCAATTATTTAAAGAGCAATGACTCGGACCACATTCCGAAGATATAGGCTATGGATCAAAATCTGAACCGGGCACAAAATCCTGCCTAGAAACTGACCATACTTTATATACTACGTGCATTTAAAATACTTAGTATATAAAGAAAATTAATAGCGGTTTTGTTGTAAGCACAAAGTGATTTGCATTACCAGAAACTTTTTCTAAACCAAGACGGACCCTAATGCTCTTTTGGATATGTATTAAGAGCTCCACACGACGCTATAGAGGGGTATTCAATCTTTTGCTTGCACTGGAGTCTGTTACTGCATATGAATAGGGATTAAACTACAGCAGCATGTGCGCTTCATCCCTTTCATTCATTTTCTGCTCAATTTAGCTTCAGTCCCAGAGGGACGGCCACCGCCACACTGCACATCACCCCACCGGGTCATACAGGGTCAGGCTGGACACATGCGACCCGTTTTAATTGTAGTATTAATTGACTGTAACGCTGCTGTAGCATTTAATTTTACAGGTGCTTAAAACGGCCACTTTATAAGCTAAAAAAAGAAAGAAATAATTCGATGCCCAAATCTCTCAAACCCAACATTTTGAACCCCCACAGAGTTAAAGAGCAGATATTTTAGATAAGCACGCGTAAAACTGGACTAGACACGCGACTCGAGCACACATGAGTCTCGTTTGACACGACTTATTTGGAGCAGCAGGCCCGAGCGCTGCCCGATCTTACCCCCGGTGTTGGAGCGCTTGGTGCTGCTCGCCTCAGTCGGTGTTTCCAGGGGTCGCTTTCGGGAATCGGAGAGATCCGGGTCCATGTGTGGCGACTGTGAGAGGAGCTGAGGAGTAGAGAAGATCCCGTTCTGCTGAACTGCCCCGCCAGCCAACATTTTGTCACCGGCTGGAGTGTGGCAACAACTAGGCAACCGAAAACCGTTGGAAAGCACATAAAAACCGGTCAGCGTCTCCTGTCCGAGTGTTTCTTATCGCTTTAAATGTCATAAAAATGCCATACTGCGAGGTCGCTGAGCGCGTCCGTTTCTGCCTCGCGGTCCACTATTTCCCGTTGGGAGAAGAGGCGCATTAAAGCTCTAAATATAAAAATCCGTTCAGTGAAGTCTATTCATTAGCTCGCACCAGACACTTGAGACGTCTGTGTGTTTATCGAGCCCTCACGCACACGCGCAGCGCCCTCTCCAAAAAGATCCTCGCGACCATTGCCTGACAAACTACGAAAAGATAAACAAACCAAGATTCACTCTCAGAACAAAAAGACAGTTCAAAACAACATTGCTTCGCTGGCCTTTTTTCGGTGTCGCAGCGGCGCCGGGGTTTAGGTATATTGTATTACTGTTGACGGTGTCAGTCCGTTTGTTTTGGAGTGTAAAGGAGAAGATTTTGTTTGAGATGCGCGAGTCTTGGCCAGCGCGCGGCTGCTCGGGTGACAGAGCTCTCGCGCAGCATCCCTGAACCAATTGTGAGCCAGAGCGCCAGAGCTCTCCTGACGTCACGGGTCTCATCCTCCAAAAGAGCTTTTCAACGGCAGCAAGTTTCAGACTCACTTGTCTAACTTGTGCTTTAACTAAACTCTCCAATTATACATGTAAACATAATAGCACAATGTTACATATAGCGGTTATTAAATAAAGAGCAACTTTCAGGTGATACAAAGTGAAATAAATTGCATTTTGCATATACGTCGATTTCCTGAGGCAACACTGCAGATTATTTACAATTACAAGAAGACAACAAACGTATGGTGAAACCGTTCACTTAATGTTCCGAATATATTTAGCATAGTTTACATTTAATCCCTGTAATATTTTTAAGTAACTGATAGTCATCACTCATCACATGATTTCTGTTTCTTTTATTAATGGAAAATTAATGCAATGCTAGCATTTTCTAGCACTACAACTGTAGTATTTTTAATATAGAAAAGTGCCCCAGAAAATAACATGTATACAATACACCAGCTACCCCCCCCCCAAAAAAAAAATTCCACAGATTAAACAGATTGTCCTCACAAATACCACATGGAGTCTTACAATTTAAATAAATAAACCTGTATTTCACCATCAAAAAGGGCAAAACTCATTTTAAAAAAAATACAATGAGCTTACTAAAAATGGAACTGCTCATTTCTTCAGTCAAAAAACAGTCCCAAAAGCAATTTGGGGTGATAATTACATAATTCACAAAATCTGCATTACATGCCGATTATCCACAGGGTAATGTGTTACAAACTTACATAACAGCAATTTCACATACAGATTATACGTAAACAACACCACATCCAAAGTAAAGTTATGGCTATATATGATTAAAAACATGTTTTCTATAACACACACACACACAAAAAGTGTGCACAGGCCATTTCACAAATTCAAGGCCGAAAAACATATCACAGATGTTCAATAAAGCTCATAACCATGCAATTAATTTTTATATTAATAGTTTATTTTTAATGTTTTGGGCCAACAGCCATATTGCTTCAAAAGCATTATAGTTTCACATACAGATTATACGTAAACAACACCACATCCAAAGTAAAGTTATGGCTATATATGATTAAAAACATGTTTTCTATAACACACACACACACACAAAAAGTGTGCACAGGCCATTTCACAAATTCAAGGCCGAAAAACATATCACAGATGTTCAATAAAGCTCATAACCATGCAATTAATTTTTATATTAATAGTTTCTTTTTAATGTTTTGGGCCAACAGCCATATTGCTTCAAAAGCATTATTTTCTTTGGACCATGTAAACATTTTAAAGGAAAAGTTTACTGACAGTACAACTAACAATCCCTGGTGCTTGTAATTAATTATGTACCATTCTCCTCCCCAAACATATATGGAATTGCAAGTATCACCACATCTGACCAACCACACACTCAAAGGCAGACCCCTTCCTGTGTCAGACAGGGCTGCCGGTTTCACGGAGAGCCTCTTGAGCTCCTTGCAGTGTCTCTCTTTTCACACATTTCCAATAACCAGAAATACCATGCTGGGGCTGAACCTATACAACACACAGGCGCAATCTACAGTAAGTCCGCCGTTTACTGCACTGAGCCACTTACACACAATCACAAAGATTAATAACTACTGTCACAAGATTTGGCTGTAATTGCTCCATCATGTGCATTGTTGTTGGCATAGACATCGGCATATATGTCAGATTTAAGTACCAATAATATTTTTAACACTAATGATATTTATTAAATGATTAATAGCATAACATTGTAAATTAACTAAATGAAACTTTGGAAATTAATAATTAATTATCAATTAAAGGGCTAAATGCTTTCTCACCCGGAGTCCACGAAGCACTCTGTCTTTCATCACAGCGAGGAACTCCTTATGGCTCAGACAGTTGTCCCCGTCTAGGTCAAAGATCTTAAAAACTGTGTCCAGAACATTCTCTGAAAGGTCATGACCTGTCGCTATCTTCACTGCTCGCTTAAACTTAGCTATGGAGCAAAAATTGAGGGAGAGTGCTATGCATTTCAGTTACTCAATCAATATAATTTTGACCTGTCAAGAAATGCACTGAGGACAATCGATTATTCATTATTAAAAGTTAATAACTACTGGCATCCAGATTAGTCTTACCCATTCCTATTGGCCTGTTGGCATCATTAATCATTTTGACTGAGAAGGCAAAGTCCTCCAGATGGTTGGTAAAGAGACAGAATTCTTTAAATTCATCGAAGGTGATGCTCTGACAAACATATAAATATATATATAAAAAGTCAGAAACTTTAAAATATAAGAATGGAATTATAATGCAGTTACAGGCTGCTATGAACGTAAAATTTCAAATGACATTTTTGCTGGTATAGATAATATTTACTTTTAACATTATATTACAATTTAAATGTACAATATAATGCAACCAGCCATGCTTTTCAGTTGATATCATTTTAGCCAGGTGATGGCAAACAGGTCAGCAGGCTCCAGAGTCCTCTACATATCAATTGTCCAACTCTAGGTGGACTGTAAATGCTTTGTACTCAGGAGTAACATCAGATTTGCCAACTCTACTCTAGAAATATGACTGATGGAGAGCTGCATAGAGCACATTTTTCATCTATATGCTGGAAATCTCTGAAGAGTGGCCACTGGCTTCTTAGCCACTTACTAGTTACATTTAGAATCTATTCCTCTCAAACTAGAAATAATGACACAAGATTAGTCTATCCAAGTCGGTTCGTGTTAAACAGCAGAAATGCTAATAATATTCAGGACTATCAGTGTTAGTGTTTAAAATATGTTACCTGTCCAGTGGGGATCCTCTTTCTCATGTTTTCCCAGTATGCCTCATTGTTCTCTTCATTGGTGTAATGAAGCAGCCATTCAGCAAAGTCCTCCCGCCTCATGGTCTTCATCCCGTTAGAAAACCGCAGGAACTCAACTTCTTGCACTTCTGCCTGCAGGTCTTCCATAAACCTACACAAAACCAAAAAATCCTTGCAATACATCTCTCAAGGCTAAACAAAGTTAAAACACAGGATAGTGTTGTAGTTAGAGAGCCAGTTTACTTTGAATGTTACTTTGAAATTCTATCAATTATGCTATTTTTGCAGCACACATAAAGAACATTTTAGTTTATATTATAATTTAATACTAACATATTAAAGTAAACACAGGCAGTACTTTACCTGCAGAAATCTTTGTATTGTAGTTTATTCTTGCCATTTTTCCCAAAAAAGAACACCTGTAGTGTAGTGTTGACTTCATCAACACTGTCTGAAAACTGTAAAGAAACAATCAAAGCTATTCAGTACAACTACAAAAATATTAAATACAACAGAACTCTGATATTAAACACAACTAGGCAATTTAATAAATATAAAAAAATAACATTCTAAATCTCTAAATAACATGCAAAGTTGCTGAAGTTACACAACATGTACCCACCTCTGTCCCATCCTGCCTTAGAAGCTCTTTTCTCGGTCGAATTATTTTCTTCAGCTTCAAAAAAAAAAAAGAACATAGTTAGTAGACTGCTGGTAAAAGAAGTCACATTCAAAAAACTGACTCTTATTCACTCGTTCTCTTGTGTTTATGCATATGTTTGTGTGTTAAGGTACAGGATGTACATCCACTCTAAAGAAAATGATGAGTCTATTCAAATAGCTTTTTCAGCTTCAGTGAATCTTCTAGCCCTTGACCACATGGCAAACTGATACATGTGAATATACTCAACATTTAAATCCAACTAAATTCTAATTAAATTGTGCATTTTTCTGATGCTCCTGTCATGCACCAATCATGCATCAACCATTCCCACATACCTGTTGCATATCGGTCTCATCTCATGCCAGCATTAACAGAAACACAAAGCAGACAGACCCTAATGACCACAATACTTACAATCCAGAGTGTTTAAAATCCAGTCAAGAGAACTTTCTTAGTTCTGCATAGTTCTTCATATAATTACATTTACAACTAAGTGTTTTTTAAACATTTGCACTTATCAGTTTGACTGTGAAGGCAACATGGTGTCATATAATCCAATGTGAAAAAACATTCCATACCTTCTGAAATTCCTTCTTGTCCACATGCTCATTGCCATCAATATCAAGCATTTTGAAAGCAATATGAAATCCTGTTTGAGGTTCTGGAATCACAGTGCAGTTAAACTGAGTAAAGCAATGGATACCGGCTTTCAGGAATAATCGGTGACCCCTCGAGTGAGCAAAAGAAACCCCACCACACACACACACAGTATAAAGAAAATGAATGAGATGGTTTGGTGTATTGCAAATCAGTGTCAGTAAATATCACTAATATTACTGTGGTATAATTTGGATGTTGTGGTAGTTTCATAGCAAGCACCGAGTGAACATGCACATGTATAATATGCAATGTATTTGCATTTGTTACTAAATTAGGTGACAAAAAAAACCTTTATATCAAAAACAAACAGAGCTCTAAACATGCACAACTGGACTGAAACTGACATTACTGAACAGTTTGAATTTGTTTTTTGCACATCTATTCCAGTACACACCAACCATAATCATTGATTGTATTCAAGCAGTTAAAGAACAATAAATTGTGGTGCTGAAACTTCACAGTGATTAAACGGTGAGTCAATTTTTTTCCTACTTGTCTTCTGTGAATTCTTGGGACAAAGAATGAGAACTTTAAGGACATACTCTGATTTCTATTCCACTTTTTTATGTCACAAAACAAGTCATCAAAATTCTAATCCAAACTAGAAGATATACTCATGCTGTATGTTTAATGCTGCATGCAACCAGTGAGCACAATGATGCATTGACCATTATAGTATTTGTATTATTTTACAGTAGCCAGTCACTCTTTCTTATCACATTTCAATTCAGATTGCAGTCTCAACCAAAATGAATTTTTCCATGATGCTGTTGATTCAGTAGTGGTGCAGCACAGT